AGGAACACCAAAACCTTATCCTATAACATTACTGCATGCAAGAAACCTTGTCTTCAGTGTACTTCTCTCTGAAATCTAGAGAGGACATATGTCTTGCAGTTATCCTGGAAGTGAATAATTTTAGAATTTACACCAATATAAACCAATGAAGTGAACTACGTTAAGCAGTTCTAGAAATAGTTTGATTTTCTATTTCCTGGCAAGTCACTCTTATTCCTGCAAGGGTCACTATGCCTCTCCCCAGAGCAGCAGTGAGCCATGCTGTAATGGATGAAGGAGACTATGTTGAAGGAGACATTTGAATACTATGGGACATATTCTACACTCTTTTGTATTTCCTTTGGAATTATAATAACTGAAATGGATATAAAGATTCAACAATGAGCTCAGAACATTCTTGTAGTGGATGAGGCCTGCATGGGAAGAGAAGAAAGTCCTTTTAGAGGCCAACCAAGAAAGTATGTCATATATTAAAGATATTATTTAACATTGTTTTTCTTAAGAAATGTTCAAGGGTATTGCTAATTAATACCTCAAGATGAACTCTTCCCTACTGAATGAAACCATCTTTGTGTTGGCTATTTTCTCCATTAATATGGCAACAGCCCATACACTAACAAAGATGACTGTTGTCCTTTCTTTGATCATTGTAAATAACCAAGGGGTGTAGATGGCACCCTTCTGGGAACATTCAGACAGTAGCAATTTTTTCCAGAGTGACAGTTCATGGCTCTCACTCAGGCATGAAATTTATGAGACTGGAAATGCTGTGTTCAGCAGGACAGCCTCCATAGTTTTCAAAAGAAGTAAACTCTTAGTTCAAGGCTCACCATCCTGATTTCTCTTGGCATGTTGAAGTCCCTTGATTTCAGAAATTACCACTTCAGTGGGTGATTTAACATGATACTTTCACTCTTTCATGGATTTCAAGACCCTGTAAACCCCAAAACATTAACATCCATTTCATGGAAAGAAGGCGGGATTTTGTTTATCAGTAATGTGGTTTTTTTTCATTGCTTTTTCATGTATGCAATGTGTGATCGTGTTTATACTTTGGTACATAGTATTTCTTTATGTAAAAATAATCCTCCTTCTCAAATAGCCACAAATCTAACAGCATCCAGGTGGTTAGTGAATATGTAAAGGTCATGGATAGAACTGGGGGCTGGGAAAGGCATTAAAACTGAAACAGAAACATTCATTATGCTTTTATGTAACTGGAAGTTTGATTGCTATTTCAGAAATATTCATTGCAATCAATTGAATGGTCTGTCTTTGCTCTTTCTGTCAATAAATCAGAATACAGACTGTTAAAACAAGGAAGGTAGCAGATTATGTACTTTTGCAGTTGTTTTTTTTAGGGGCTCCCTCTGCACAGAAAAGAAATGAGAAGGTGCTCTCTGCCTTCTAGAAGAAAGTCAGAAAGTAGTTGTGGAGAGCTGAACTCCAGGTCTCAGTTGGCAAAGGAGGCATCATTGTCTCTGTGCTGCTGTCTCAGCCTAAACAAAGCCCAGATTGAGGTATGATGGCAGTAAGATAGCAGGGGATCAGACAGAGATCATCAATCAAGGGACTTGTGAGTAGATTAAAAACTCGCATCTGAAGCTCAAAGCAGAGACTGGATGGACCCGGTTTGCTACATGCGGGGACTTTGGATGAGTTGGAGCTATGCTGAAGGAGAGGGAAATGCTCTATTAGAAAAACAGGACTATGTGCAGTTAGCTTGCTGGTAAAAATTTGTATTTGAGCTCAAGAACCTTACATGTGAGAGGGAGAAACCCAGCAAATGGGGATCATAGGTGAGTGAGTCTGTGGTTGTGGAAAGATGTGTGTCTCGGTTCATGGCATGCCAGTGCGCGGGAACTCGTGCTCCCAGGATGCTTCAGACCACGTATTACATACCACAATGCATCTGGGTGTTGCTCTTGATATGGGTGGGTAAGTTTGAAAAAGAAGGTGAGAGTTACCTTATTTTGAACTATCTTCTCTACATTGAAGCATTCCTGGAAAGCTGAATTTACATAACCACAGAATTTTTTGAAATTTATTTGTTCTGAAGTTCCCTACAAAACTGTGATACTGAGGAAAAAAAAAAGTTTTAGAAACATAACATCATGTTTTCAGAATCACATTTGTTCTCTGCTGGTGTTGCAAAATGTGGAATATGTCAAGATTATTTAGGTCAGGATGTTTTTGATGTAGGATCTTTCTATACTTTCAAGCCTAATCAAGAAGAAAGGAGACCTAATCAGTGGAACAGGCAGCATCCCTTAGTCAAGGACATCCTGGAACTCGCAAGCTTTAAGGATATAGTAAATCAAGATGAAATTAGGAAATCACTGTACCCCAAAATCAATGTATGGAAATGTGGGGAAGGAGCCTCTAGACACAGGCTGAAAGTGGGTGGTCTATGTTCATGAATCACTGCACTGCATGGCTACCAGTACTAAGAAATGCTACAGCCTGCACCAGCTATGGGAAAAGTTGGCTTTGTTCTGCCCAGCAGGAAGAGTCTGTAGGTCAAGAGCAGTGAAACCAGCAACCTGAGCTCCTCACAGCCAGGAGCTTCCCTTGAAGTTGCCCTGGAATGCAGAGAGTGAAGCAATCAACATATGAAACCCAAAGTGTGAGCTGGGCAACGCTGCATTTCCGCTCCATGGCAAGAATAACTGCCTAGACATTCAACCTATGCTCTTTTGGAGCTTCTGGGACTTGCAACAGATTTCGTGGTAAGCACAAGGGAAATGAGTGGTAGGGTTCTTATCGCCAAGGGGCTCTAGCACACAAAGGTGATATATGTTCACAAAACGAAGAAGCAGAAAGGAATAAACAAGGGACATCTTTTGAAAAAAAATTCTGCTATCTTAGCTTGGGCAAATGTCTCCACCACAGATACTGAGATTGGTTATGGGATGAAGAAATTCTACCTTGGAAATGTAAGTATTCATCAAAGAAGAAAACCTGTAAAACTTTGTTATTCACACATAACATTTATAAGAGATATAAATAGGCCAAGCCAGAAGAACATCTTTCTTTTTTGCTTTGGATGTTAACCTATCCTTGCAGGCTGACACTACTCCTTTCCCAGCATGACAAGTCTTCAAAGCACAAGAAAGCTCCCCTTGAGTACCTGTAATGGTGCCAAATCTCATGCAAACTCTTATTTTACGTTCCTTAAAGTGAGGTTTGTCAGAGTTTACCTCCCACCTTCCAGTGCCCATCATCTATCCTTCTTGCAGCTTTAGGATTTGCATGACAATGTCCTGAGGTTACCATAGAGCAGAGGAATACAATAACTGGGGTTTGCTGCTTGTTTTTTCTGTAGTTACAGCTTTCATAGGTGCTTCCCATTCACTCGGTGTGCTTAGAATTCTTTTCTCATCCTCAAGTGACCCTCGAATTTCAAGGTTCATAAGGGGCATTTCCCAGGGCTCAAGAAAGAATGAAAATATAAAAAAGAATTTCTGATGGTATAAATGATCAGCCCTCTGCAATCTTCACTGGGTGCTGGGATGAGAAAAAGCAATTAAGGACATATTGATCACTGGGCTAATTTCAAAATCTACCCTCGGGAGCCTGACCTACTTTGGACTAAGCTTTTTCATTGGCAGTTTCCTCTCTGCTTCCAAGTAAAAGTAGTTTCATCGACAAGGACAGTGCTGCTCTCTGAGATGAAAGTGGGGAGAAAATGGTGTTCCACAGGCTGGATGCACCCAGCTGTTACCACTGAATGCATCAGTGGTGAGCAGACACATCACAGCTGTCCCCATAACGTACATCTCAGCCCAACCCAGAACTGGATCCTCCTGATGGAAAAACTGGGTAAAGTTAGGCAAACCCATTCTTAAGGGTTTATTTTATTTTATTTTATTTTTTAATCAGGACAGATTTAACCTCAAGCCCTTGAGAGACTGTAACAATAGGGTAATCTGTAAGGCCTTTGCTTTAATGGAATGATTTATCAAAGGGAACAGCTGAAGCCAAATGTTTTTGCCTCTAGATAGTTGGAACAAGGTATTGTAGCTTTTTCCATAGACAGAGCAGAGGCACTGGGCAGTGCTAGGGGCTGGTTCTACTTCTCCTCCACCTGCCCCTTGGTCCATCCCAGATGGGCAGCACAGGCTGTACAGATGAGAAAAGAGAGGTGTACAAGTTCCCAGTCACCCTAGAGTTGCTCTGCACAGATCTCTCCCTCCCTAGCACCTGCTAATCCATTTTCTCTTTCCTTCTGGAAGGCTTTCTTCTGAAGGAAGAAAGATGATGATCTAATTTCATCCCAGGAACTGCATATGTAGCATATTGGACATCTAGTAACGCTGCCACAAATGAGCAGAGCACAGCAACAAGAAAGCAAACAAGAAATTGTGCTTGATAATAGAATGGAAAGGTGGGGGGGAAAATCAAATACACTCTGCCTACCTACCCTTGCCTGGATGCACAGAGTGTGAACTCCATGACACTCATGGTTCATGTATAAACAGAAACCTCCATTTGAAGGGTTGGGAAGTGATGCTGCACTGGTGGGCAGGCAGTGCTGCAGTGTGAGCCAGGCTCTGTACTTCTTTCTGCCACTGGCCTGAGTTGACCTTGGGCTTTTTACTCCCAGTGACTCATTTTCCCCATCTACACAGTAAGTTCTGCTCTTCACAAAGGGTAGCAGGCAGGATGAGGAAGGATGTCTACACTTAGATAAACCAGTTTTTGCTGTTTCATTTTCTCTAGAAACACAGTATGAAAAGGGAAAGCCATCCAGAATTTTAGCAGGGCAGAGGCGAGGCAGTGGGGGCAGCTGGGCAAGAATTTTCCAAACAGATTTGTGGAAAGTGGCTTATTAGGGAAACAGCTTGAGACCTAGCCAGGCCCCAGTGGGCAAGTGCAGAGGTGGAGCTTACACTGGAGCTCTTTGTTAGATATAAAAGGCTTAGATGGGTCAGTGCTGACAACAGTCCCTGGGAGGTGGCTGAGAGAAGCCGTGCAGAGAGCAGAGAGCAGTGTTGGCCATGGGGAGGGCAGCTCCAGCCCTCCTGGTACTGCTCAGTCTGACAACGACTATTTGTGATGCTGAGGACACCTGCTCAGGTGAGTGGAGCACAAATATTACCGCCACCCCACTTCTCCCCATAAGAGAAGGACCTTGAGGGGGGGAAGAGGCATGTGATTTTTTCCTTCTATGCTTTTTTAAATTCAACCGCAAGTGGGAGGAGGGGGAGGGAGAGGCTGAAATCTCAACAGCCACTTAACAAAGCAACCTCCAATTAAAGATGTAACATCCTTCCCCAGTCACCAGCGGGATCTCTAGGAACAGGCTGTCCCTGTTGAGATTTTCCATCCTGGTTAAGGTTTTTTTCAGTAGTGCCTTGGCACAGTTACCAAAGGATGCAGAACAATACAGAGGATCGATGGATGCCTGCTGGGTGCTAGGCACGCTGGAAGCCTGGGGATGCTGCTCAATGCAGTGTTCTGTCTGTATTCCTCATGAAGGCCATAGTGGCAATTTCAAACTGACCTGCCATCAGGAAATTTAGAAGAACGCTTACTGTCCACAGATCCATCAGTGTCACACTCCGTTGTTAATACCTCATTGATGCACCTCTCAGGTTTTGTTTTATTAAGCTGCAGTATATTTGTCAGGCAATGTCATATACATTTCATAGATATCAGCCTCTTCTACTAAACTCTCCTGAGGCAAGAGAGATTCACAGTCTGGCTCCTCTAATATGTGAGATCCTCAATGCCATTCATACAACAGCTATTAATTCACGCAACACCTCCAATTTTCCACAGTCATTGCTTTTGATTGAGTTGTTCCTCAATTCCAGAGTGTTTGGCTTCCTCTCCAAAATATTTCAGAACCCTAATAATCTCCACAAATACTGTCTTCATTTCCTCAGAGGTGAGAATAGTGGGACTGGGTGATGCTGACCGACTCGCCATTCTCCAAGGATGCCCAGGTATCCCAGGTGTGTCTGGCCCAAAAGGAGAACCAGGTCTCCCAGGAAAAAAAGGTGAGATCCCTGTCTTGGTTTAATGAGACTGAAAGTATTTTGCTAAGAAGGGCGAGTTATGAGGTAGACTAAACTCCTCTCTCTCAGCAATTGTAAATCCAAAATTAAGAGGCTCCAATCGAGGAAGTATGGAATAAAAAGAAAAGTAACAACCCTTTATTAAAGGATATATGTGTATTGGCAAAAGCAGCAAAAGAACACAAAAACAACTAAACAATAATCCTGTACCCAAAAGTCCCCTTCAAAAAAGGAACCAGTTTGATACTCCTCTGTCCTCAGCGCGATTCTAATCACGGTTGGCAGAAGCGCCGTTGGATCCTGGAGGAGCAGAGCCTGCAGTGCTCAGTGTTGGCCAACGTGGGGCGCTGTTTGGCTCTGGTGGTCGCTGTGTGGGGGCCCCGGATCACGGGAGAAGCCAAAAAATGGAGATTTTTCTCCCTCACCAAGGATGGGAAGGGGAAAAGGGGAAAGAAGGGCAGTTTCCCTCCCACTAAACTCACGCTGTCTGTAGCTGGCTGTGGTCAGGACTCCCCCTTTTTCATCGATGAGCACAAACTCTCCAATGAATTCTGAGCAGATTCAGGCTGGAGACAGGGCAGGGTGCAGGCAAGCCGAGGCCGGAGAGCAGCCAGATGACCAGGTCGAGAGCAAGACGGCCTCGGAGTTTTTCACACACACACACACACACACATGCCCTTGCCGTTAAGGCAGAAGAGTGAAGTGCCTCTTTCCAAAGAGAGGAGAGGAGAAGAAACTCCTTCCCCCCAAACTCCACCCCCCCCTCCCCACACACACACCCCAGCCTTAGAGAAAGCTGTCAGACTCGAATGCAGGTCTGCCAGCTAGTTCTTTTGTATAGTCAATTAACCCTTCCACCTCCCTCGTTCAACACCTTCTTTTACAGTGGGACAGGTGAAAGGAAAATTTCTGCTTGGATTTTTAGAACAAGTAAACCTATGACACCCCTAAAGCCAATGATGAGAACTGTGATATGGGACAGCATTTTTGCTTTAAGTAGGGGAAGTCAGATGAGGCTGCAGCAGTGGTAGCCTTCGCACTGGCTGCTGTTAGCAACTGGAGAGTCAAATAGGAGTGGAAAACATCACCAAGTAGACATGTGCTGGTACACATGGAGTCACCTTTTTCTTCCCTGAGCCCTGTCACAAGTCTGAAAGTCATAAAGTGATCCTGGGGTGCGAAGTGTCATAATTCATTTGTTTCTTTGCAGCAAAATAATCCATTTATTGTCTGGGTCTGTAATGAACACTTTGGATGGGAGGGAGGCTGTGATGCTCCTGCATGTTTTCTGGGGAATAGTTTGAGAACAGTACTGGTATCCTCTACCCCAGGAAGCAAGGGAGATGGAGTTCCCTCAGGATTTTCATAGCCAACTCATGGAGAAGGTGAATCACATCAGCAGAGGGAGCATATCCACCACAGCCAAATCCATGGACAGGCTCCACCATATAAAAAACTCATAGAAATTTTTATGTGAACTGCAGATTAAGACTTAAACTGAAGTACCAGTGTAGTGAGGTTTCAGCAGAAGAAAAGGAGTAAGGTAAAAGAGTAAACTATGTTGCAAGTCTGAATGTAATTAACAAAACCCATCGCCCTTTCTTCTGTGGAAGCAAAGGCCCAGTTCTCCCAGATTTTGTGACCTCTCCCTTCTGGTCAGTTTGCAACGTGCACATAAAAAAATGAGTCTTTCTTTGCAGGAGAAATGGGAGATCAGGGATTCCCCGGGAAAGCAGGACCACCTGGTGCAAAAGGTAACATATTCAGTTCTAATCCATAAATCTCCCCAAGCTCAGGACATGCATTGTGAGACTTGGTTGGCCATAGTCCAAGAAACAGCCCCGAAGTAGCATACACAAAGCCTGATTTTGGGGTATGGCTGTTGCATGGAGTGAGCACTAAAAACAGTGTCCTTGAGTGGGACCACAGCACAGAGGAAGATACTACTCTTCTCAAAGTTCACACTGATCCTTAACAGACTCCTAAAATCAGGCCTCTCCCCATTCCCCACTCCTACATTAACCTTCCTCCACCACAAAACAAACCTGCTCAAATACCCCACAGCTCTGAGAACTTTGAAACTCACTGCAGAGCTTCATCTCAGAGGCCTGAAGCAGAGGCATGGTGCTCAGTGCTTCCAGCATCCTCCAGGCTTGGAGTCAGTGCGCGATGCCCACTTGATCAGAAGGATGTGATCAAACCACCAGGAAACATCCATTACAGGGTGAGGTTTTCTTGTAATAGGATGAGCCCCTGAAAAGAGGAACACGTCTGTTGAGAAACTGGCTTTCACCACCCAGGTTAGGCTTAGGATCTTCAGCAGGGCCTGTGTGCTGCAAATATTGAAAAAGTACTTCTTCTAAAGAAACAAGTACAAGGTAGCACCAGTGCACTGACTAGCAGGGAAAACAGCTTGGCCAAATGCACCAAAGACTTGAACTGAAACTCTAGTAGGAGATGGACAAACCCACTGAAAAAGCAGCTATTGCACAAAATCTCAGAAGTGGCTGACTATAAACAGAAACCCCGCACAAAAAGTCACTGAAGTGGAACCATACACTTCAGGAGGTGGCACAGCAGTTCTCTTTTCCCTCTATCCTGATCTTCCTATTGTATCTGAGAGATACTGCTGATCAAGAGAACAACCAGGCTGGCATGGCAGCAATACCTAGGACACTCAGTTGAGTACCATATCTTTGCACCTCTTGACAGGCTCTCTTGTACATTTGGTACATATGAAGGGGTTGGAGCAGCCACCTGGGGAGCCACAGTAATTCATTTACATTGCTCATATGTGATGAGCATTTCCCTCTTCTGTTTTGCAGGAACAGCTGGAGAGCCTGGCTTCCCAGGACTGAAAGGTAAATCATGCTGTGCCGAATTTAGCATGTGAGCTACTTTGTTAAACTTTCACCTTGTACTGTTCTGGAACAACACACCAGAAGGGAGCAATTATAGAGAAATGGAAGTACCCCACTAGGGCTCTTCGGTGACAGTTGTGCCCCATCATAGGCTCAGCCCTGGCCCAGGTGCTGTGGGCAACACTCCTCCCAAAGCAGCTGTTCAGCAACAAGTGTTGCCCTCAGCTCCAGCACCTGGTGCTGCTACCTGGCACCATCAGCTTGCGTACCACCCAGCAGCCACCCCATGTACTCTTGGGCAACCTGCAGAGCTGCTTCCAGTGTCTGAGGGTGCTGGATGTATTGGGGTAGTTTCAGTGGTCTATGACTTGAGTTCCCACATGCCCCCCTGTGCTCTCCTGAGTCTGTGCAGATGGGCAGGTGGGTCTCCTCTGGTGGGCCTGGGAGCAGCCAGGTCAGAGCTTATATTTATTTAATCCTCCTGCCTGGTTTCTCCATGCCTTTCTCCATGCTTAGCACAGATGAGCCAAGCACTTTCCCTAATATCACAGCTCTCCAGTGCAGCTAGATTTGTCTAAGCAAATGATGCCAACTGCTGGGGGAGGGGAGTGCTGAGTGTGGAAGTTGAAGAAAAATTGGTGGTGTTGTTTGTCCAACAGGAACAAAAGGAGAGCCTGGATTTCCAGAAATATGGGGTGAGTTTCTTCCTAGGTCTTCATGCCACTATCAGCTTTGCAGAGTGGACGTTGGTGGACTACTTACACCAGAAATCAGGACAGGACAGGAATAAGAAAAGATTCAGAGTGACATTAAAGGACAGAGTAAGAAAATATCACAGTTAACCCATTTGCTTCTGTGGGTCTATTTTGTACTCCAGCCTGGCCAGGAAAGTATGTCCTCTGAGCACTACTTGGGTCTCCTGTCCTCTGTGTGGGAGAGATAGACCTGGAGGAGGTCTATCTGAGTTTCTTGGAGCTTCAGTGTCCTGGTTTCCAAGATGAAATCATTAGAAAGAGCTGTATGGACATGCAGCTACTTAAAAGGCAGTTATACCCCTCCACTTGCTGGAGTGGGAAGTTTCCGTAGATGGGAGTTCACATGTGTGGTAGTGATCAGATTAACCTAATCATTGGGAAAAAAAAGGGAAAAAGAAAACAAAGAAGCTTCATTTGGCCCATCTGACTCCATGAGCTAAAAGCAGAGCTACAACCTGCTCTGGCTAAAATTGGGTGTTGCGTGGCCACAGACACATGCAGGGGCTCAGGCAGATCAGAGCTGCTGTAACACCTGAGGGATGGGATGCCACTGAACAGCCCCTTGCTGCCCCAGGCACTTATGGCTTAGTAATGTAAAAAATAAGCATGCGACCTGGCTGCATGGATTTCCAGCAACCAAATCCGTTTATTAGAAGAAAACAGCACCTTTTGTACCTTTGGACGACACGTTGTGCTGGTTTAAAAGTTAACCAGCAGGGGGAATGAACCCAACTCAAAGGAGAGATTATAAGTCAGAATAACAATTTATTAAAATAATACAGTAAGTACAATAATACAAACAAACAATTGGTCTCAACCCACAAAAACCCAAATGTGTAACCCAGTACCCTGGGGCCTGAACAAAGTGGTGTTCCTTGGGCCCTGTTTGAGTCCAAAGTAAAGGGAGAGGGGAAGAACCTGCTGGTGGGAGAGCTGCTGCAGTCTGGGCAGAACTGGTGATCGCAGTCCAGTGGTGGTCTAAGTCTGGTTGAGAGCGATGAGATGCAGCCGTCCTCTGGATCCCACGAGTGGGTTGAAAAATGTTCCAAAACTCCAAGATTATATATCCTCCAGTTCAGGCAGGAATGTTCAGTGCTCCCCTCAGGGCGGGGAGTTTCACAAAGGGTGTGAGGACAGAAACATCCTCCTATCTCACAGGCCTCTTAACACCTAGTTTATAGCCTGAGGAGTCAGGCTCTATGGGCAGAAGGTGCGAATAGTCTATTGACAACAATAGTCTAGTTTCTGGGAAATGACATGGAAGGCTATAGAATACAGTTTTGGGTTACACCCACCATGATGAACTGATCTCAGCTGTCCTAACTAGGACATTATCCACCCCTTATTCTATGCCATCCATGTCATGCCCAAATTAACCCCCTTTAAAAACTATATACATCTATCTATCTATCTATATATATATACAATGAAACATTACAGACCATTCTCACTCAAAATTAGGTCCCCTTGTGGTACACAACGTGTCTCCCCATCTTTTTGCATTACCCACCACGTGGAACCAGGTCCCTGAGCAAAAACAATCCCTCGGATGGGTTTGCCTTTGCTTGAGGTGGGACTAATCCAAACAGTCTTCCCTAACATTCCTCTCATATGTACCACGGGGACTTTATCTCCATCTACAGTATGCAAAAGTTCTGATTGGGCAGGGCCAGCTCGATTGATGGAACCTCGGGTGTTGACCAACCAGGTGGCCTTTGCTAAATGCAGCTCCCAGTGTTTGAGAGTCTCCCCACACAGTGCCTTCAGAGTGGTTTTCAGCAGTCCGTTGCACCGCTCAACTTTTCCAGCAGCTGGTGCATGGTAGGGGATATGATACACCCACTCAATGCCGTGCTCTTTGGCCCAGGTGTCTACGAGGCCATTCTTGAAATGGGTCCCATTATCAGACTCAATTCTCTCCGGGGTGCCGTGTCGCCACAGGACTTGTTTTTCAAGGCCCAGGATGGTATTCCGGGCAGTGGCATGAGGCACGGGGTATGTCTCCAACCATCCAGTGCTTCCTTCTACCATGGTCAGTACGTAGTGCTTACCCTGGCGGGTTTTGGGGAGCGTGATGTAGTCAACTTGCCAGGCTTCCCCATACCTGTACTTTGACCACCGTCCACCATACCATAGAGGCTTCACCCGCTTGGCCTGCTTGATGGCAGCACATGTCTCACAGTCATGGATGACCTGTGAGACAATGTCCTTGGTTAAGTCCACCCCTCGGTCACGAGCCCATCTGTATGTTGCATCTCTCCCCTGGTGACCGGAGGCGTCATGGGCCCATCGAGCCAGAAATAATTCTCCTTTGTGCTGCCAATCCAGATCTACCTGAGAGACTTTAATCCTGGCAGCTTGGTCCGCCTGCTCGTTGTTACGATGCTCCTCATTAGCCCGTTTCTTGCCTACATGAGCGTCTACGTGACGGACCTTCACACTCAGCTTCTCTACCCGGCCAGCGATGTCCTGCCACATCTCCGCCGCCCAGATGGGTTTCCCTTGGCGCTGCCAGTTGGCCTTTTTCCATCTTTCCAGCCATCCCCACAGAGCATTGGCCACCATCCATGAGTCAGTGTAGAGATAGAGTCTTGGCCACTTCTCTCGTTCAGCTATATCCAAAGCCAACTGAACGGCTTTAAGCTCTGCAAACTGACTTGACCCACCTTGTCCTTCAGTCGCTTCTGCAACTCGCCGTGTGGGACTCCATACAGCTGCCTTCCATTTTCGGTTTGTCCCTACAATGCGGCAGGAGCCATCCGTGAAGAGCACATATCGCCTTTCATCTGCGGGTAGCTTGTCATATGGTGGGGCCTCCTCAGCTCGTGTCACCTTCTCCTCCTCTTCTTCAGAGGATAGTCCAAAACTCTCACCTTCGGGCCAATTGGTGATAATTTCCAGAATCCCAGGGCGATTAGGATTCCCTATCCGGGTTCGCTGCGTGATCAGAGCGATCCACTTACTCCACGTGGCATCGGTGGCATGATGTGTGGAAGGAACTCTTCCCTTGAACATCCAGCCCAGCACTGGTAGTCGGGGTGCCAGGAGGAGCTGCGCTTCGGTGCCGATTACTTCTGAGGCAGCTCGAACTCCTTCATAGGCAGCCAGGATCTCTTTCTCAGTTGGTGTATAGCTGGCTTCAGATCCTTTGTATCCCCGACTCCAGAATCCCAGCGGTCGTCCTCGGGTCTCCCCAGGCACTTTCTGCCAGAGGCTCCAAGAAGGGCCATTCTCCCCGGCTGCGGTGTAGAGCACGTTCTTCACGTCCTGTCCTGTCCTTACTGGCCCAAGGGCTACCGCATGGGCAATCTCCTGTTTAATTTGTTCAAAGGCTTGTTGTTGTTCGGGGCCCCACTGGAAATCATTTTTCTTCCGTGTCACAAGGTAGAGAGGGCTTACAATCTGACTATACTCGGGGATATGCATCCTCCAAAAGCCCACAGCGCCTAGGAAAGCCTGTGTTTCCTTCTTGCTGGTTGGTGGGGACATGGCTGCTATTTTGTTAATCACCTCCATTGGAATTAGGCGGCGTCCATCTTGCCACTTCACTCCTAGGAACTGAATTTCCTGAGCAGGTCCCTTGACCTTACTCCGTTTAATGGCAAAACCGGCTCTTAGGAGAATCTGGATTATCTTCTCTCCTTTCTCGAAGACTTCGCCCGCTGTGTTCCCCCATACAATGATGTCATCAATGTACTGTAGGTGCTCTGGAGCCTCACCCTTTTCCAGTGCAGTCTGGATCAGTCCATGGCAAATGCTGGGACTGTGTTTCCACCCCTGAGGCAGTCGATTCCAGGTGTACTGTACACCTCTCCAAGTGAAAGCAAATTGTGGCCTGCACTCCGCTGCCAAAGGAATGGAGAAAAAAGCATTGGCTATGTCAATGGTGGCATACCACTTGGCTTCCTTGGACTCCAGCTCGTACTGGAGCTCCAACATGTCCGGCACAGCAGCACTCAGGGGTGGTGTGACTTCATTGAGTCCACGGTAATCCACCGTCAGCCTCCACTCTCCGCTGGACTTACGCACTGGCCATATAGGGCTATTAAAGGGTGAGCGAGTCTTGCTGACCACCCCCTGGGTCTCCAGTTCACGGATCATTCTATGTATAGGGGTCACAGAGTCTCGGTCGGTGCGGTATTGCCGACGGTGCACTGTTGCTGTGGCTATCGGTACCAATTGTTCTTCAACCTTCAGCAGTCCCACAGCAGAGGGGTCCTCTGAGAGACCAGGCAAGGTGTTCAACTGTCTAATTTCCTCCGTCTCCACAGCAGCTATGCCAAAAGCCCAACGAAGTCCTTTTGGGTCTTTGAAATACCCACTCCTCAGGTAATCTATGCCAAGGATACACGGGGCCTCTGGACCAGTCACGATGGGGTGTCTGTGCCATTCCTTCCCAGTCAGGCTCACTTCAGCTTCCAGTACAGTCAGCTGTTGGGATCCCCTGTCACCCCAGAAATAGAGATGGATTCTGCCCCTACGTATCTTGATGGCATTAATGTACATTGTGCGCCAGTGTCCACTAAAGCCTTATATCTTTGTGGCTCTGATGTGCCAGGCCACCGAATCCACACAGTCCAATAGACTCGATTGTCCCTCTCCTCTACCTGGCTAGAGGCAGGGCACCCCTAGTCCTGGTCATGGTACTCATTGTGCTCTTCTTGTGGGTATGACCTGGAGGTCCCTTCAAGAGGATCAGACGTATCATCATTCCTGTACCGTCTGGAGTCTTGCCCACGAGAGACTGGAGCAACGTTTACCCTTGAAGAGTTCTTTATGGTATTTGTTCCTCTTTTCAGTTCACGTACCCGGGCTGCTAAGGAAGAGGTGGGTTTCCCATCCCACTTCCTCATATCTTCTCCATGCTCACGGAGGTAAAACCATAGATCGCTACGTGGAGTGTACCTTCTCTCCTTAGCTGGGGGACGCTGGCTCCTGAT